TTTCTGTGCTGACTCCCCTTGCTGTACTTTCAGTGGTTTTACTTGTTGGACGTGTTGTGCTTGTACTGCTCAATGTAGTACGCTCCGTAGTCCATCTTGGAACTGTAGTAGTTCTAGATGTACTAGATGTACTAGATGTAGTACTTGTTGAAGTATGTCTTGTACTTAATGGAGTATGTCTTGTACTCGTTGTAGTCCAATCGATAAAACTGCGTTGCATTCTTTCCATTTCTGTAGGCAGCAGTGGGTTATTATTGTTTTGAATAGAACATCGAAGGCGCAATGATTTTGTAAGTAATGGACGAATTACTTCTGGGCTGGCTTGGCACACGATTTTTGACGCATCTGAGGAAGAGAGGAGAGTTTCATTTCTGGAATCATATGTATGTCACTAAATTAAAAGACATAAGGGACTCGTCTTAAATACAGACTATAACTTATCTACAAACTGTATGTAACATTTTAAAAATCAAGAAGCACGTTTCTGGTCGTACGTTATTTAAAATTTATTAAACATTTACATCAATATCTTTAGTTCTTTTAAAAGAATGATCATTGTTTGAAAAAGAAAAAGATATAATGATATGAATTGTGATAATGGTAACAGTCTTATGTAAATATTATTTATCACAAACGCAGCGAAACTGATACATTTATAAGAAGTTATTCTAACAGCAAAGTCTCTAGCTTCTTACTGATTCAACCGTACAAGGAGATATCACTGAAGGTGGTCACAGCCCAAAACAAACTCAACATTCAGAATGCAGCGAAACTGATACATTTATAAGAAGTTATTCTAACAGCAAAGTCTCTAGCTTCTTACTGATTCAACCGTACAAGGAGATATCACTGAAGGTGGTCACAGCCCAAAACAAACTCAACATTCAGAAGTCCTACGCCGAAGACCTAATGACTTCTTGGACAAGGAACTTATACGACGCAAAACCTGAGCCCAAGCGGGTGGAAGCGTTTGGGTCTTAATTCTGAGCTAAGTCAGTCGGGAGTCGACTATGACCACTTTAATCATCATATTTGTGCTGGTTCTGTCTGTGGGTGCGCAGATGGCTAATGAGGCCGATTCAGGTACGAAATTCCCTTGTGCAGTAGGTACGGCAGAATGATGGGGCGTCTCCTGGAGCAGAGTCAGACCGGGCCTTCCTGGCATGTCTCTTGAGCTGTGCAGCCGCTGTTCTGCTAACTTGATGTTGCATGGAGCTCCTGTTTAAAGTGGAACGACATGATGTTCGATCTTTTGCTTTTCCTCCCACGTGTCTGGGTTTTCCTTCCTGGCATGTCTCTTGAGCTGTGCAGCCGCTGTTCTGCTAACTTGATGTTGCATGGAGCTCCTGTTTAAAGTGGAACGACATGATGTTCGATCTTTTGCTTTTCCTCCCACGTGTCTGGGTTTTTGCCTAATGCTTTCAGTGAGGCTCGTAAGTTGTCTTTAAAACGTTTCTTCTGCCCTCCCGTATACCAGTCTCCGTGTTCGAGCTGACCATAGAACATTCTTATGGGCAGCTGGTCGTCTGACATTCACACAACATTTGATCTGACCCCAGTATCTGACCCCACGATCTGACCCCGCGATCTAAACCCGCGCTCTAACCCCATAATCTGACTCCGCGATCTGACCCCACCGTGCGACCCAAAGATCTCGACCTTCCAAAAAAGCTCTCTTTGTCATCGTGCAAGTGCGCGATAACATCTTGAGGGTTGGTCTTTAGTAGAAATGAGAAGGGTTTGGTGTCGATGCTAATATGCAAAAGTGGATACATGCCTTCTCGTCAGAACCAACAATAACCGCAAGAGTATGGGACAAGGTTTTGAACATGTGTGCACTCGTGGATGGACTCCTAAAGGAATCTGAACCCTGTTTCGTGCTTATAAACGCAAAATGCAGTCTTACTTGCAGATAATCCAGTAATCTGTATCCCTGACAAACACATTCAGCAGAGCCGGTAGCAAGAGGACCTAAAGTCATGTGATCAAAGTTGGAAAAGGGTTATCAATGCACAGACGACTGTTTACTCAGTGTTTAGAAATGAAAGGATTGCCCCAAAAGAGGAGAGCACACTAAACATCTGAATGAAGAAGCTAAACATCAGACGAGTAATATGGGCGGGAAAACGAAAAAAGACAAGAAATTTCAACTAAAAAATAGTCAATTTCATGAGCTCAGTGCCACAGCCTCGTCAAAATTAAGCCAATTGAAAAAAACTGACGGGCACTACGTATTAATCAAGCAGTTAATTGTATCTGCTGAAACAGTATCTGCTGAAATAGTATCTGCTGAAATAGTATATGTTGAAATAGTATATGCTGAAATAGCATCGGTTGAAATGTTATCTGCTGAAATAGTATCTGCTGAAATAGTATCTGCTGAAATGGTATCTGCTGAAATGGTATCTGCTGACATGTTATCTGTTGAAATGGTATCTGCTGACATGTTATCTATTGAAATGGTATCTGCTGAAATGTTATCTGTTGAAATGGTATCTGCTGACATGGTATCTGTTGAAATGGTATCTGCTGACATGGTATCTGTTGAAATGGTATCTGCTGACATGTTATCTGTTGAAATGGTATCTGCTAAGCCCGTATCAAAAGGAATCTGCCGAAATGGTATCCTCTGAGTGGAAGAAAATACATTTGCTGTTGATATCAAAACTAAAAAATTGTTTCCTATATTTGAACTTTCTTCTTTAAATATATTTCTCCGTCCGCACGAAAGCAAAATAGCCGATAGATAAGGGGTAATCCATGTATACACAGAGAAAGAAGAGGGATAAGCAGAAAATTTTAAATTTATTCACAGATTCTACAATTATTATCCTAAAACGATGACAGTTAATAAAAGGCCAATTTATATATATAATGCTTTACAATTTTCACGAAATATTTCAGGAATTACGTCATACTGCTGTTATGCATTTTAACCAATGAATTTCTAAGATATCGCTTTAGCCATGCAGTAATACTTAATTCATCAATCGTATTTGTATGTTTCCGCTCTTGTGACGTAATTATTTGGTACGTCTTGGCACCGGTTCCTAAAATATTTCGATCATTAGGTCCTTTGAATATAGGTTTTAGCCTAGTCAATCGTCCTATTTCAAATTCCAACAAGTGCACCTTCAGATTGCGACAGCATTTATTCGTTTAAATTAATGGTTTGGTTTAACATTTTAAAAAAATATGCTGGTTTAAGCGTCATAAGGGTAACCATTACTTAAGTAAGTTACTAGTTTGCATTAGGTCCGCTAGATGTTGTGTACCAATAAGTTAAATTGAAATAAATAATAAAAATTCTTGTGTACTTTGCGTCACCGTTGTGAGGAAGCCGTGTCTCCCCAGGGTGCCCCGGCGCATATTTCTAGAACCATTTGCTTACGCCAAACATGAAGCTGAGAAAACCCGTAACTGCCTTTTTCTTTTTAATTTTTTAAAAAAAATGTGAATTCCTCACTGTCTATCAATAGATCGAATTTTTCATTGCTGGAAAGGGTAGAAAGCTCATTTGTACATAAGTACATGAGCGCGAAACAGGTAGGAGCTAAAAGTTAACTTTTTTGCGCACATTCTAGAGTTTATATAATTTACCACGAAAATGAAATATGAAACCGGCAGTTTACATTTATTTCACGTCAAAGAAATTTTAAAAATTAAAAGCGAACAAAAAAACATAGCTTCATTTTTAAAAAAATTGATACACTAGCATGCAGCGAACACTGGAAGGGAGTGTGGACTAATGACACACCAGGAAAACAATCTCATGTTTTCAAATTATGGACATTATTTAAATACTTATAAGGACAAAAATACGCCAAAGCCTGGAGTATAGCACACAATAACAACACTTACGTATGGGCTTTTTCCGGGAACAGCAGAAGGCAAAAGTAGAAAGAAAAAACAAATTTGCTTACAATGAGGTAGACACACACAAAAATAAAAATGGTCATCAGGTAGTTAGCAATTTAAACCAAACTAAACAAATAATTGTGGGACATGATATATTGGGAACAAGTATCGTGATAATTGACTAGATATATTTTAAAAAGTCAACAAATGTAAATAAATAAAAGAATAAAATTTGTTATACAATTTTAAATCACGATTTAATAGTCTAGCCTTAGGGTACTATTACAGATATTTCTGAGTATGGCAATGCTGATGGAGCGGGAAGTTGTTGAACTAATAGATACCATATTTTACCTGACGGCAAGTTGTTATAACAATAGTTAACAACACTCAACATTTAAAAAAAAAAAAAGAACAATTCCTGTTTAAATGTAAGTTTGCACTGAGCTCTGTCCTATAAACCCTGACTTATGCAGCCTACACCTAGTGCTAATCTACCAGATATGAAGGACCTGTTAATTTATTCCAGCCTACACCTAGTGCTAATCTACCAGATATGAAGGACCTGTTAATTTATTGCAGCCTACACCTAGTGCTAATCTACCAGATATGAAGGACCTGTTAATTTATTGCAGCCTACACCTAGTGCTAATCTACCAGATATGAAGGACCTGTTAATTTATTGCAGCCTACACCTAGTGCTAATCTACCAGATATGAAGGACCTGTTAATTTATTGCAGCCTACACCTAGTGCTAATCTACAAGATATGAAGGACCTGTTTATTTATTGCAGCCTACACCTAGTGCTAATCTACCAGATATGAAGGACCTGTTAATTTATTGCAGCCTACACCTAGTGCTAATCTACCAGATATGAAGGACCTGTTAATTTATTGCAGCCTACACCTAGTGCTAATCTACCAGATATGAAGGACCTGTTAATTTATTGCAGCCTACACCTAGTGCTAATCTACCAGATATGAAGGACCTGTTAATTTATTGCAGCCTACACCTAGTGCTAATCTACCAGATATGAAGGACATGTTAATCTATTGCAGCCTACACTCATGTTGGATCGGAGGTATCTGACGTCGCTGATGATCGTGTTTTCCAGGAGTTGGTTCGACGCCGTCAGGTTGGCCCGCAGCTCCTCGGTTTTATTGACGAGTTCCTGATTGGTGATCTGCAGCTGGTTGATGAGCCGGTCGTGGTCGATAATGAACCTGATCAGGTCCGAGACCCCAGGCTCTGACGCCGTGATGTTCAGTTTGCCATTTATTTCGACGATGTGCTTGTTGGAGGTCAGAGCCGTAATCTCACATGTGTAGTTCCCGGCTTGCGCTCCTGTAGGGCCATTCCAGGTCACTTGAAGGTAGCCCAGCTCTTTCATCAGGGAATTCTCCGTGATGTTACCTTCCACGTGTAAATTTTCCGCTGGAGATCCATCAGGACTGGCCGGCTCGAACTGCGATATGCTCGCGACGGGTTCCGCTTGTCCAGTGACGTTGCTACTTTTCGTGATGATGATAGAAATGACGTGGGCGACGTCAGAACTTGCCGAAACCACCGTGTTCGTGTTTGAAGTCATGGCGTCGTTGGAACTGACAGAGCACCTGAGTTGGAGTTGTTTGGTCAGCACCATGTGAACCACTGGTTCATTCGTGTGGAACACCAGCTTCGCCGCTACAGTGGTAGAATTATACAGTAAAGCATCAAAATTGGTCGGCTGCAAATTCACTGTTAATTTTTTGGGGACTAATTTCTCACCTCTAATCAAATTTCTAATAAAATGTAAATCTAATTAAAAAATCTAATAAAGAAAAACAACAACGTCCCACTAATATCCGATTTTTTGGTGATAGAGATTCAACCCAGAAGTAATTGTTTGGAGACCAATGTGAACACTCGCCCACTGACAAAGCGAAAACAAAGAACATGTTTGGTCAATTTTTCTGTGACAAACTCAAAGCTAACCTGTCTTAATAAGAAATAGTATCAGTTTTATTGGATTCCAGTTGTGAAATGCCGATTTCGCCACCAGCTTTGTTACATTCAGTTCTATAAATGTAGCCTAGGGGTAATGTGTAAAATAAATAAAGATCTATATGTTTGTTGGTTAAACGGCAATCAAGTATGTAAAGAATTGTTTCGAGACGATAAAATGTATGTTTATCTCTCTTGATTCACTCTTCACATAAATTATCAAATATTTTGTAGATTTTCTTGTCTAATAAATGAACAAGAAATCCCAAACATTGAGCAGCTTTTTTTTTCGGGTACCAAAGTAAATTATTTTGTTCTCACTATCATTGTACAGTTTGTTTCCTCTCAGAAATTTGTGATGCCAAAGGATCATCTTGCATTTTAAATAAATATATTTCGTGACAGGCGATATGGAGATCCGAGAAGCTCATGATATATTTGAAGAATTGCCGAGTATGAAATGTTAGATTTTTAGCATAAGGAGAACATGGAGACATGGGCGCCCGCAGAAAACTTTCTAGGGGGGGGGGGGGCAAAAAATCGATTAACTTTCCAGGGGGGGCAAAAATGTTTTAATAATGTTTTAATGTCGTTTTAATTTACTGTAGCGTATTTGTATGGTGTACGAACGGACAGGACATCAGCTTAGTTACTTTATCTTTATTTTCTTATGAAATGTTAGATTTTTAGCATAAGGAGAACATGGAGACATGGGGGCCCGCAGAAAACTTTCTAGGGGGGGGGGGGCAAAAAATCGATTAACTTTCCAGGGGTGGCAAAAATGTTTTAATAATGTTTTAATGTCGTTTTAATTTACTGTAGCGTATTTGTATGGTGTACGAACGGACAGGACATCAGCTTAGTTACTTTATCTTTATTTTCTCTTTACTTTAATACATTTTTTGTCTATTTTTTGTCTAAATTTTTTTTATCCAATCAATCCAGGGGGGGGGGGCGCAAGTGCCCCACCTTGCCCCTACCTGTGGGTGCCCATGCCAGGAGATATTTTTGCTCACAGACGCAACAACTGAAAAGCTAAGTGCCACCATTCATGTTACATGTCACATGTGTTATGAACTCTTTAAATAACTTTAAATGAACTGTTTAAATAAATGTTTACGTCTGAGACGGAATCTGGCGCTGAAACATCGACTCAACGTTGTAGTCTTCGGAAAGAAGAAAACCATCACTATCGTCATCACAAACTTTCACATCATTGTCATCACAATATTTCACATCATTGTCATCACAATCTTTCACTTCATTGTCATCACAATCTTTCACATCATTGTCATCACAATATTTCACATCATTGCCATCACAAACTTTCACATCATTTTCATAGCTAATTTTAGAATATTAAAACGTTGAATTTTATATAATTTTTAGCACATTGCACTGGGTGACTTCTTTGCATGTTAGTTAATGATCTGACTAACCTACCGTGACATCCACATGCTGTGCTATCAGAATGATTGCATACAAGCTCGAGATTATCAAATTCATTTTAAATCAATGTTGTTGCTGTTGTCCGTCAGGTGGTTTAAAAAAAAAATTATTGCGTGATGATGTTATATTCTGGAAAGTTTTTAAGTAAATGAATTGTTCGGTATGTAGTGTCGAACTTTTTATGTGCACGAGTACGGTAGTTTTTTGATTGAGTGCTCTTGTAAGAACGGACGTGTCGGTTCTATTTGTAATCAGCTGATATCCTGAAGTGGCTCTAAAGGGTGACTTCTTTGTATATTAGTTTATAATCTGACTGACCTGCCACAAGATGTTTTGTGTGACTTGATTGTTTGCGTTTTGGTGACATGAAAAACATTTTTTTCATCTAAACTTGAGTTAACTAGGACAAAAATGTGGGCCATGTTTGGACCCGGGGGGATGAGAATGATAAGTTCAAACATCCTATGTTTAGATGATATGAGGAAACATATGAAATAACTGAGTTTAAGAGAAAGAGAGAGGGTATTGAGAAAGAGTGAGAATTCGAGAAAGATGGCTAGATAGAGGGAGACAGAGTGAGGTGATAAAGAAGGAGAAAGATGGGGAGTGACAGGGGAAGAACGAGATGAAGAAATTCGGACGAGACAGTGGGAGAGAGAAGTAGGGAGAGAGCGAGAGAGAGGAAAATTGGAAGAGGGGAAGGAAGACAGGGAGAGAGTGAAATTGAGTTAGAGACAGAGTGAGAGAGAGAAAAAGGGAAAGACATGGAGAGATGGAGAGAGTGAGAGAGAGAAGTCGCGATAAAGTCAGAGATAGAAGAAGAAATAGAGAGGGAGAGAGAGCGAAAGAGTGGGGGAGACAGGGGAGAAGTAAATAGAGAGGCAGGGAGATATAGGGTGAGAGAGGGAAAGAACGTGTTGAGAGGGAGATGGATAAAGAGTTAGGGGAGATAGAGATTAGGAGAGGAACAGAGAGAGAGAGGGAGTAGAGGAAGGAAGGGGAGAGAGAAGAATATAAAGAGAGAGTAACAGAGATTGAGATATATAGTAGAGGGAGAGAGAGGATATGAGAGAGGGAGAGAGATGAAAAGAGAGGAATAGAGAAAGGAAGGCAGATGGAGAAAGGAAGAGGAAGGGGGGGGGAAGAGAGTGAGAGAGAGCTGGAGTAAGATAGAAAAAAGAGACATGGTGTGGGAGACAGAAGAAGGCAAAAGGAGACACAAGGAGGCACAAGGAGACACAAGGAGGCACACGGAGACACAAGGAGACAACATGAGGCACAAAGAGACACAAAGAGACACAAGCAGGCACAAGGAGGCACAAGGCGACACAAGGAGGCACAGGCACGGGGAGAGCGATAGAGATAGCAAGCATGTGTGGTTATAGGATACACCAAAGTGGCGATATCCTATTTTGTTTAAAAAATCTGAGAGAGTTGGAGACAGGTAGAGAGAAAGTGTCAGAGAGGGAGAAGAGAAGAAAAGACGGAGAGAGATAGAGAGAGAGAGAGAGAGAGAGAGAGGGAGAGAGAGAGAGATGGAGAGAGATGGTAATTTACAAGGAGGTGGGAAAGAATGGATGAAGGAAATAATAAATAAATAAAGAAGGGAATAAGTTCACTGAGAGATAAACAGAAAATTAAAGTGAAGTAAAATGAAATAAACAATACTTCAAGTGAATACAATTTCAAAATTAGTTTGTTGAATCAAATATATACATTTATTTCCATTAAGTTATAACCACGTAATCAAAACGGTATACAATTCTAATGTAAACTTCACTTTGGTTCGTTGCTGGTCTGGTTGGCAAAAATCTTCGGACGGCTAATTAACCCACTTCCCGTCAACAGATCAAGCTAAAACTTCACACATAGACTCGTTGCTGATGACAGCTCATTCTTTCAAATGAATGAAATATGATGCCTAGGATTTTACTTAATAAAAGTCCCGATAACTGCGTTAAAATTGATTCTTTAAAATCTGCATTTGGCGCAAAACATTTTCTTCTTTTTTTTTCTGAAAAGGTTTGTGAAATAAATCTGCCGTCTACAAGAGGTTGGGTCATTAGAATATTTATATATATAAGAATGAGCTAGAGTGACATATCGCCCAAAGGGAGGTATGATTTAAGTACGTTTGAATTCCTAAAAACAATCATAGTTATTTTCTATTATTTTACGGAAATCGAATAAATTTAAATGCGCAAAAATATATTTTAAATCCGCTTTTATTTGAATAAACGTTTAAGTATTACTATTATAAATTACAAATACGTTTAAAGTATCGACTAAGGAACTATTTTAATCATTTTATATGTGTTTGAAAGTTATGAAAAAAAAAAAAAGCATGATCAAAGAATTGCACCGTAATCAAATTGATCGGAAAAACCCAAACATCACTCGTTTTTAGTGTGTTGTTTATATTGCGAAATAATATTTTAAATTAATTTATTCTAAACTAGCGAGTACCCGGCATGCGTTGCAATGCCACTCAAGGAAAGAAAGTGTTTGCATGTTATGTTTCTTCAAGAGCTTTTAAATACTCAAAGTTTTTCTTGTTTTTCCATCTGGTATATACACGAATAAATCAGAAGATTTTCCGATACAGGTTCAAGTATTAGATGGTGAGGACGTAGATGAAGGAATTAAATATTTTAACTAGCTGGAGTCGTTTCCTAGCAGTTACAGGTTCAAGTATTAGATGGTGAGGACGTAGATGAAGGAATTAAATATTTTAACTAGCTGGAGTCGTTTCCTAGCAGTTACAGGTTCAATCTATTCATTAACATCGCATGCGAAGAGGGGAAAGTGTGGGGTTAGTATGAAATGAGGGATTTTACTTCAAGCCTTTGAGACGTCTAACTGTTGAGTTCTACTAGCATTGTATGTTTGAAAATCTAGAAAATTCATAAAAGGTCTAAAGTGATAAGTATAAAAAATAAATTTACATATTTCTTTTTTTTCCCCTTCAGAATTCAAGGCATTGTACAGCCCTTAAGATTGGAGACCGGAAACTACACCATTGAGTCTTCCTTTGACGTCATTTGTGTTAGAACGTGCAACCCAATGACGTCACGTCATGTCATTTTGCGATAGAAAAATAACGAAAGAGATATGAACTTGATTTTTATTCTAAACTAGCGAGTACCCGGCATGCGT